ATACTTTCTGCTGTCTCAAGTTGGTGGTGCCTTCTTCACACCCCCTTCGTTAACGTCAACCCAATGGAAATACTAAGTCACTTTGTCTGACTTTTTTTTTTTTTTTTTGGGGGGGGGGGGGTTATCCTAGGTAATTTACACATGTATGATTATTGTACTTGTGTTTACCTGTTGCCTAATAAACTCATTTCCTCTTTCTCTTTCTCTCTCCCACATGATCTCTATAACCTTCTCACTGTAAGTTTAGTTAGTACAGGTACACATAAGTACAATTATCATACAAAATGTAAATTACCCAGGATAACCCAAAAGAAGTCAAGGTGACTTATATCCATTGGAGCCCTTGTAGTATCTTATTAATTAAACCTTAAATGTTAAAGCAGAGAAGTAGCTTAAAAATAACTCACTGCCCGCCTTACCTGGAGGTTACCTGGAGGTTATTCCGGGGATCAACGCCCCCGCGGCCCGGTCCATGACCAGGCCTCCCGATGGATCAGGGCCTGATCAACTAGGCTGTTACTGCTGGCCGCACGCAGTCCAACGTACGAGCCACAGCCCGGCTGATCCGGCACTGACTTTAGGTATCTGTCCAGCTCTCTCTTGAAGGCAGCCAGGGGTTTATTGGCAATTCCCCTAATGCTTGATGGGAGGCTGTTAAACAGTTTTGGGCCCCGGACACTTATGGTGTTTTCCCTTAGTGTACCAATGGCGCCCCTACTTTTTATTGGGGGCATTTTGCATCGCCTGCCCAGTCTTTTACTTTCGTAGGGAGTGATTTCTGTGTGCAGATTTGGGACCATTCCTTCCAAGATTTTCCAAGTATAGATTATGATATATCTCTCCCTCCTGCGTTCCAACGAGTACAAGTAAAGTGCTTCCAAGCGTTCCCAGTAGTTAAGGTGCTTGACAGAACTTATACGTGCAGTAAAGGATCTCTGTACACTCTCTAGATCTGCGATTTCACCTGCTTTGAGTGGAGATGTTAATGTACAGCAGTATTCCAGCCTAGAGAGAACAAGTGATTTGAAAAGGATCATCATGGGCTTGGCATCTCTCGTTTTGAAAGTTCTCATTATCCATCCTATCATTTTCTTTGCACGTGCGATCGTGGCACTGTTGTGATCCTTGAAAGTGAGATCCTCAGACATTACTACTCCCAGGTCCCTTACATTAGTTTTCCGCTCTATTGTATGGCCGGAGTCAGTAGTATACTCTGTTCTAGTTATTATCTCCTCCAGTTTTCCATAACGGAGTAGTTGGAATTTGTCCTCATTGAACATCATATTGTTTACCGTTGCCCACTGGAAAACTTTGTTTATATCTTGGAGATTAACCGCGTCCTCAGCAGATGACAGCCTCATGCAGATCCTAGTATCATCCGCAAAGGATGATACGGTGCTGTGGCGTATATCTCTGTTTATGTCTGATATGAGGATAAGGAATAAGATGGGGGCGAGTACTGTGCCTTGTGGAACAGAGCTCTTTACTATGGCAGCCTCCGATTTAACTCTGTTGACCACTACTCTTTGTGTTCGATTTGTTAGGAAGTTGAAGATCCATCTCCCCACTTTCCCAGTTATTCCTTTAGCACGTATTTTATGGGCTATTACGCAATGATCGCATTTGTCAAATGCTTTTGCAAAGTCTGTATTCTGCATTCTGTAAAGTCTGCATTCTGATTTTCTTCCAGTGCATCCAAGGCCATGTCATAGTGATCCAGTAGTTGTGAGAGGCAGGAGCGACCTGCCCTGAACCTATGTTGCCCTGGATTGTGCAGATTTTGGGAATCCAGATGATTTGCAATCCTGCTTCTTAGCACTCTTTCAAAGATTTTTATGATGTGGGACGTCAGAGCTATTGGTCTATAGTTCTTAGCTAATGCTTTGCTGCCACCTTTATGGAGTGGGGCTATATCCGTTGTTTTAAGTGACTGTGGAATTTCACCCATGTCCAAGCTCCTTAATTCGCATATTTATTCTATTAAAATACACAACAGACTTCAACGTCTTATAAGATAAAATAAGATTTCGTTCGAATTTTTAACCCCGCAGGGTTAGCCACTCAGGGTAACCCATGAGTCAGTGTGTCATCAAGGACTGTCTGGCTTTTGATTTACGTAAAACTTTTGATACAGTTGACCATGATTTGTTGCACATAAAATTAACACACTATGGTATAAGTTGGGCACTCCCTCAACTACCAAAAGTCATACCTTAGCAACAGAAGCCAATATGTATAGACAAATGGAGCTAACTCTTCCACACAACCAATTCCAGTTGGTGTCCCACAAGGAAGTGTCCTTGGCCCTCTTCTCTTTCTCATTTACATATAATGACCTACCAAATGCATCTCAACTACTCAAACCCACACTATTTGCAGATGACACAACATACGTCTTCTATCACCCAAGCCCAGTCATACTAGCCAGTACTGTAAATACTGAATTACAGAAAATATCTACCTGGATGATGATTAACAAACTTACTCTCAATATTGACAAAACCTACTTCATGCAGTTTGGGAACAGAACTACAAATGTTCCAGTTAATATAATGATCAACGGTTCACCTATCACAAAGTTCACCGAGGGAAAATTCTTAGGAATCCACCTAGATAATAGACTCGAATTTCAAACACATGTACAACAAATTTCCAAGAAAATCTCCAAGACCGCAGGCATACCATAATATGTTGTAATTACATTACCTAATAGAATAATCCATTCTCTTGAATACACAGTAACTCATCTAATGACCATATGATCTGTTTCTGCACTACAAATCATTGATTTTAATCGATTTGATCTTTATTATTACACAAATGGAGCAAACTTCCGCACAGCCAATTACAGTTGGTGTTCCACAGGGAAGTGTCCTTGGCCCTCTTCTCTTTCTCGTTTACATAAATGACCTACCAAATGCATCTCAACTACTCAAACTCACAATAATTGCAGATGACACTACATACGTCTTCTCTCACCCGAGCCCAGTCATGCTAGCCAATACTGTGAATACCGAATTACAGAAAATATTTACCTGGATGATGACTAACAAACTTACTCTCAACACTGACAAAACCTACTTCATTCAGTTTGGTAACAGAGCAACAGACATCCCTCTTAACATAATGATAAACTGATCACCTATCACAAAGCTCACAAAGGGAAAATTCTTAGGAATCCACCTTGATAATAGACTCAAATTTCAAACACATATACAACAAATTTCCAAGAAAATTTCCAAGATCGTAGGCGCACTATCGAAGATGCGGTACTATGTTCCACAGTCAGCCCTCCTGGCCCTATATCACTCACCTTTTTACCCCTATCTCACCTATGGAATTTGTGCATGGGGCTCAACAACAATAAATCATCTCAGACCATTAATTACCCAACAAAAGGCTGCAGTCAGAATGATAACAAATTCCCACTACAGGCAGCACACTCCACCAATATTCAAAACTCTAAACCTACTCACCATACAAAACATCCATACTTATTATTGTACCTACTACATACATAGAACACTTAACTTGGATATAAACCCTCCCCTCAAACTTCTTACCAACCCCAACAGAACACATGACCATAACACAAGACACAGATCACTCTTGGATATTCCTCGTGTCCATCTCACACTATGTAAAAGCTCAATGTTCATCAAAGGCCCAAAAATCTGGAATTCACTACCTGTGAATATAAAAGAAACACTGTTTATAAATTCAAGTCTCTTCTCAAAAATTACTTACTCACCCACAACCAAATAAATACTGAATAATTGTATCTCATAAATGTTTAACCTGTGACCCAATCAAACTTTGTTATTTTTAATTACATTGTCTAACAGAATACTCCATTCTATTGAATGCTCAGCAACACAGTAAATGACCATATGACTTGTCTTTGAAATACTCATTTGTGCTTAATTGTTAACTGTTTACAACAATGTTTACCACTGAATATATCATTGCTTAGTTAATCTTAAGTTAATTTTAAGCCTGCCCATAATGCTCTGCATACAAAGGACTTTGGCATATTACTCTTAACCACTGTATTTCCTTGTACTTCAATGTAATAAATAAATAAATAAAGAAATAAATAAATAAATAAATAAATTAAAGATTCGCCGGTATTCTCCCGGCCCGGATTTGATCTGATTAATGAATTGTATGACTACATATAGTAAATTGACCACTGATATATTATACACTGTATTGCTGCTACAAATTTGTACAACTATAATGCTTCAAAATTGAAATGTTCAAATTTCATAGTTTAAAATACTCAATTGTACTTCAAATTGTAAATTGTTTACTGTAATTTTTACCACTGAATCTATCATAGCTTAGTTAATTTTAAGTTAATTTTAAGCCTGTCCATAATGCCCTGCATACAAGGGGATTTTGACATGTACATCCAACTACTATAATTCCTTGTACAACTATGTATTATGTCTAAATAAACTATTATTTTTATTATTATTATTATTATTATTATTATTATTATTATTATTATTATTATTATTATTATTATTATTATTATTATTATTATTATTGTGGTCCTCAATCTTGTTCCCCAGGATGCGACCCACACCAGTCTACTAACACCCAGGTACCTACTTGCTGCTAGGTGAACACAAGTGTAAGAAAACGCGTCGAAATGTTTCTACCCCGCCGGGGATCGAACCCGGGCCCTCCGTGTGTGAAGGAAGAGCTTTGTCAGCCAGGCCTGATAAGACAAATGTGCAACAGTTAAGTATCGTTATTCCGAAACGTCTCGTCTACACGGTAGGCTTCTCTAGTGAATGCAGTATATGAAATTCTGTTATTTCAGCTTCACATTGTTTCAGACTATGGAGAAGAACTCTTCTCTAGGCTGAGGGACTGACCACCTCAAAACTACGTCATCAAACGTGATGGACTGATTACATCGTCTTTACTGCTCCTGCTGCTCATTATTATTATTGTAATCATGGGGGAGCGCTAAACCCGTAGGATTATACAGCGCATGTGGGGGGATAGAAGGCATTCAGACTCAATTCAGGGAACCGGAGCACAAATCCAATTCCCTAAATCAAGAGCCCCTCACCAGCGTCAAGGAACCTCCCTTGAGGGGTCCTGCTGCTCAAGGACCCCAATGGAAGGTCACTTGGTGTGTCACGGTGTGTAGAAATAAGCTCCATCTGATTTAAATTGCCAGTTTAATGTTCCCGTTTCCCTTTCCGGAGGAAACCTCTGTCTCATTCCCTCCCAGACTGTAACATTTTTTTTCCTCCAGACTGGGAAGTGACTCAATAAAACCTCAACTTTGGTGGCCCTGAGTAACCACAACAGCAAAATGTCTATGTCTTTTATCGACTTTGAAAGTGCGAGAGAGAAGGAGAAAAAACGGCAGTGGGAACGAGAGGCGAGAGAAGCTATTCTGGAGAAGGTATGGAAGTTGTGCTCTCTTATATAGGCAAACAACAGCTGCAGCCATTTAACATATGACAAAACAACAACACAACACAAATAGTTCTATTACTCTGCCGAACTCTGGTAATTTAAGTTTTTTACTCACAGGTACCCCTCAAGGGAGATTCCTTAGTGATAGTGAGGGGCTCTTGCTCTAGGGAATTGGATCTGTGCTCCGGTTCCCTGAATTGAGTGTGAATACCTTCCATCCCCCCCCCACGAGCTGTATAATCTTACGGGTGTAGCGCTCCCCCATGATTATAATAATTAGACACAGGTACACATAAGTACAATTATCATACATAGTATAAATTACCTTGGATAACCTAAAAAAGATCAGTGATTTATTTCCATTGGGGTCCTTGAATTTACATTTTACAGTACATACAACCTATGTAAGTATTGCATTTACAAATTGTTATTTTGGGAGATATTAGTGAAAATGGTTCATTTATTTTGCTCACAGAGCACTTCTAAGCCAAGCACTGTTTTTTACCCTAGTGGAAATAGGTCACTTTTGACTTTTTGGGTTATCCTAGGAAATTTATATTATGTATGATAATTGTAATTATGTGTACCTGTACTTAAATATACTTACTATTAAGTCATGTCAAGTGCCAGGCTAAATGTTAACAAGGATGTATATGAACTTGGATAAGATAAGATTTCATTCGGATTTTTAACCCCGGAGGGTTAGCCACCCAGGATAACCCAAGAAAGTCAGTGCGTCATTGAGGACTGTAACTTATTTCCATTGGGGTCCTTAATCTTGTCCCCCAGGATGCGACCCGCACCAGTCGACTAACCCAGTTACCAATTTGCTGCTAGGTGAACAGGACAACAGGTGTAAGGAAACGTGTCGAAATGTTTCCACCCGCCGGGAATCGAACCCGGGCTCTCCGTGTGTGAAGCGGGAGCTTTAGCCACTGGGCCACCGGGCCAGAGAGGGACTCGAGCCTTGGTCCTGACAGGTAGCAGGTACAATGTTGTAAGCCTCGTAGCTCAATAGTACAGTACTAGATTTACTACCTGTCAAGACTACAGTTTGAGTCCCCATCCATTCTTCTGTTTATTAAACTACACACATCTGTGGGTGTACAAGACTGGAATGGGTTGCCCAATGAAGTCACAGCTTGTCTCTTTACAATATAACATAATTTAAGAATAGAGCCAAAGAATATCTGATGATTGAAACTGCAAAAAGGGTGGATAATGATTTTTTGTTTTGTTAAAATATTATCAGTTTTTTTTTTTAATGTTTTAATTTTTGGGTTGATTTACTAACGTTACTAAGACAGTATTCATATACATGTACTATATCTATGCAAAAGAACCATGAGGGGAGTTGAATAATAGCTCTAGGCTTTTCATGCTGCAATCAATACATCAGGCTTTCTATATAGTAGTATGTCATTGATGTCAGCTAGACCTGTATATGTTGTACATGTAGAAATAAAAATTATTATTATTATTATACATTATTATTATTATTTTTATTATTTTTATATTATTATTATTGTCATTTTTTGCAAGCACTTCAAACCTTCATTTATTACAGTATTTACTGTATTCCCTCTTCAACAGTCTCTCCCTTTTTAGCATTTAGGTTCAACACTCTGAACATTTGCCAAACACTTCCCAAAAACTATCTACATTCTCCTTGTTTTTGAATGCATTTCATGAAGGTGTGCCTTGATGCTGGTGAAGGACTTGATCCAAGAAATTGGAGCTGCCTTCTTCTTCCTCAGATCAAATCTGATTGCTTCTCATTCCTCAGGCACTGTACGACGACAAGAACTTGAGCGTCTTCCTGTGAATATAATAATGATAACTTCTGGGTGCATAAACACCCACCATAATGAATTTTTCACACAGTACAGGTGCACCACTGATTTCCAAAATTTTTCCAGGGTAACCGTTTTACTGAACCAACAGTGGTCACCAAGGACTGCTAGATCCTTATATATTAAAGAAAAATTAAATGTAAATTAAATAAATAATTAAATAATTGCTCTTTGCTGATGATCTGTGCTTTTGAGAGATTCTGAA